CTCTGGGCGGGATAGAAATCTAATAAATAGTTAATTATGCCTTGTCTTTCTCCAGGGAGTTCTAATGGCATGTATGCCTCTCTTACACATCTTTTAGTCTCACAACAACCATGATTAGGATGAGCAAGTGTGATTGGTCCAAACTCACCCCAGGGGGCATGTCATGATTGAACAGGGCTTTGGATGTTGGGCTCCCCCCATCTAGACCAGGGGTGTCCAACCTTTCACCTTCCCTGGGCCACATTAGAAGATGAAAATTTGGTTTGGGCCGCACATACATTTGGTTTGGGCCGCATGGGAGGGCAGCCCTAGCCATCCTCCGCAGCCCCGCTTCAAGCGCGCTTACCGGCAGCTGCGATCTCAGACAGCAGAGGCTGCCAGCTTCAGCTCCGGTGGCCTTATGGGGCCGGGGGGTGATCCACCTATTGATGGGGATGGCGCAATGCAGTCACGCAGCCCCCCTGTCCCCTCCCCTCCCACTCCTTCCTTCCTTCCCTCTCTCCCCCTCTACTGTTGTGACATGCCCCAGCCACATTCCGACCGCAAGCGCCGGCAGTGTAACTTGAAACTTTGGAATTTCTTTAAAAATAAAAAATTGCACTGGGCCGCATTATGAGCTGACCTGGGCCACATGCGGCCCTCGGGCCGCAGGTTGGACAAGCCTGCTCTAGACTGACACGCTAGCCATGGCATCATAGTGGCTCTTTGTTGAGTAGCCCTGAAACTCCATATATTTTGGGACATGTTAATGGTAGCTTTCCGCTTGTGACCTCTAACATGACTAATGGTAGGCATAATTCACAGAATTATAGGGAGATGCATAATATTGGTAATATAAGGCTAGCGTAAAATAAAAGGGAAAATGACTACAGTAATGTCTCAGTTCTGGCATGTTTTAACATTTTAAGTATATATGGCCGCATGGGACTGTTCGTAACATCAGGGGAATCTAGTGTGATGTGGGTGGGAATGGGGTTCAGTTTAGAATCTGGTGGATCAAGATCTAAAAGTGGAATGAATCCTGGCATATTAAGGAGCCAATCAGGGGCAGAATCTGGAAGGTCATGAGTGGAGGTCCAGAGACAAAGGGATCATCTTCTATGAGCTTGCTACTAGCTTTTGAATCCTGAATGTAATGGTTATATACCATTACATTCAGAATTTGGTTCTGCTAGTTAAAGGACTAAAATGTCAGCAGAATTAACAAAAGCTTTCCCTGATCTGAGCCTCCCTATGTTCTCTCAGGTGTAAGGTGTCTTCTCTTCAGAACTTCTGTTTGTGCTATGAAATCTGTCAGTACACAGAGAAGATCCTTATATGTTCTGTGTTTCATTGCATGGGATAGGCTGGGTAGAAAAGAAAAGCCAGTCTTGGGGACAGGATCTGGGGTGAAACTGTGGACTTTTCATGTAGCACCCATCAAAATCCTAACCCCAAGACTCTTCCCTCCCTCCCTCCATTTCAGTGATGCAGTACTGCCATTTTCACTTGAGCATGGAATCAGGCACCAGGCTCTTTTCCCACACACATCCACTTGCAAAGCAGTAAGAAGATCAGAAGCCCTCCCCTTAACTATGTACTTTACCTTTCACTCTCATGTGCAAGGCTCCATGAGCAGTACAGGTCTTGAGGTGCCTAAAAGGAAGACTGTCCCCAAGTGACTCTGTTTATGCTCTGGATGAGGAGAGCTTTTTGTATACATCTTGGCCACCGTTCAAGATAATGTTCATGTTGCTAGCCCTGTAAAGCTGATGGTTGTTTTGCCTCTAACCCAAATTCACTCAGATTGACTACAAAATAAAAAGTAATACTCTTCTTCTTCTTCTTCTTCTTTTTTTTTTTGGCCAGTTAATACAAATCCATGCAAATACATTAGTATTATTTGTCGCTTGTACTTTTGCCCTGACACTCCAAGCAAATACAAAGACTGTAGAGAAAAGCCTTTCCTTGCATTTAACGCTCTCTGGAATTCCAAAAGATTGTTAATCTTAAAATCCTTATTCAGCTTGTCAAGGCTGCTAAGGACATTGCACCCTGCAAGAATTTGATCTTTTATCCTATTGGTGGTGAACCTTTGACACTTCAGATGGTTTGGACTACATCTTCCAGAATTCCCCAGCCTCTGTTGCCAATGATAAAGGACTGTGGGAGCCTTAGTCCAAAACATCTGGAATGCCAAAGGTTTGCCACCCCTGTTCTAGGTTAATTACCAGGAGTATATAAAATAAGGGTAAACATTGTGTGTCTGGTTACCATATTATATTTATACTCGGTATGCTACACAACTGTATTCCTTTAGAGGAGGAGACAATTTGCTCATCACAAAGGCTTCTGTTGTTCCTTTTTAAAATACTGTTCATCATAGGAAGAAAGGCAATCTGCTTAATCGGGAAGTTTAAATCCAGGAAGTATTTGACAATATCCTTCAGGTTTGTTCCACTCCTGGAATACACTCTGTACTTGCTCAGAAACATTGAAGGTGGCAGTTCTGTCCTCATGTCCCTTGACTCACTATGGGAGGGAACAGAGGTTTGTAAGAGCAGAATAGAGAAAAGGAAGAAAACGTGTTTATTTTTCATGGCCAGATTAGACATAAGCGTGTTTCAGAGTACAGCACTGGGAAAGTGGAAATTAACAGTTTCTTCTGAGCGTTTTCACTGATGGAAATCCTCCTCCACCACACAATGTTGCTGTTAGGCACAGAAAGAAAAAAGAAAGAAAGAAAGCAAAAAACAGAACCGGGTATCCATAACATGCCTCTCTTCCTTAAGGGTAGTTTCCACCAGGGAACTGGCACAGGAAGGAAAAGATAATTCCTCCCTCCCATTGTGGCTTTTAAGCCGGGGGGGGGGAATGGGTAATATTATTATGGATCTCCTACATCACATTTAATTTCACCCTCCACAGAAGATTTTTATTAATTCATTTTTCTTTTTTGCAGCTCACTAAAAAAAAAAGCACCCAGGAATTTTTGCATTTCATTCCCATTTTTATATATTTATATATATAAAAAACCAAGAAAAGAAACAAGAAAGTCCCCAGAAAAAGGGGGAATGGAAACAAATTTTGACACAAAAAGCAGGTGGTGGGGTAGGATCAAACCAATCCTTACCCGCAAATCTCCATTTCCACCCCCGAACCAGTCCCTCTCCCACCCATCCCAACCTGCCCCCATCTGAAAGAAGTTCAGAAGCTTACATGGCAGGGGACACACATCCATCGTTCTGTCCTGTGTCCCACACCCATCCCTCCCTCCCACACCAAAGTCGCAGTTTCTTAACTCACATCCCTTTAAAAAAAAGTCAACAACAAAAACTTCTCCCAAGTCTCTTTCTTTTTCCATGTCTTTCATCCAGAAAAAGAATTCTGGATATAATCTGTGTTCATTTTCCATATTTTTCAAATATGAATTTCCAATGGGGTGGCCATAACATTGGCCAGTGATTAAGGCCATACTGTGGTAGCAGGACTGGGGTAAGATGAACAGTCTTTTCTTCAGAGGCAAAAGTCAACATCTGGGTCCTTTGAAGGGAAAAAATTAGGAGAAACCCCAACCCCTGCATCATTCTCTCATTAGGTTCCCCATGTCCTCCCCGAAACCCAGGCCCCGATTCTTCCATCTCCCAAAACTCTGTGCTCTGTTTCCTCATCCCTTTCCCTGACCTATAAGTCTTGCCCTATCTACTTTTCTCCCCCCACCACCACAGTCAACAATGCCTCTTCCGGGCCTCATTTCCCAGCTACCTCTTTCCTCCCAAATCCATTCTCCCACTCCACCCCATCAAGCGCAACTCACGGTTAACAAGTCGTCTGGATTTGAGGTGTCTTGTATTATTCCCCTCCTCAGCAGGAATTCAACAGTATGGCTGGGAACTGATCAGACTCAATTTCAAGAGTTCCCGCCGGAGGGGTAATGCAACATGGGGATGGATGGGCATCACAACTAAACATGACCAGCAAGTCAGGCTGCCAGCTTCCCTTGCTTTGAATATCAAACCACTGTTCACATTCTTAGATAAAAGCAGACCCAGAAGTTTTGATCCTCCCATGTTTCCCTCCCCCTTAAAAAAAATCATTACAGTCCAGATCTGAAGTTCTCTCTCCCACTTCCACTACCTACTGCACCCCTTTTTCCGGGCAAAGCTCCTGCTCCTGTTTTCTCTGTTTTTAACTCCTAAGCTTCACTTCCTTCTTAGAGATGAGCAGAAAACTATGAGGCTTTTGTCTAACCCACGAGCTTGTTTACCTGCTTCCCACCCATGACCTAAAGCCCCGACCACTTGTCCCCTGGAATAAATCCAGAGATATGAAACAGCAACTCTGGAAGTGGTAAGCTTCCCACACTTGGTCTATGAGTCTCTCGCCACAAAGCTGTGAACAGTTCTATGGCAATGTGACATGGCAAGAATGAGAGAAATATGTCCTGCAATTGTAATGTGTGAGAGCGGAGGAGGAGGAGGAGGTGGCGGCTGGAGAGGCATGTAAGCGCTGCAGCGATGATGTTTTGGCCTTCTGCTGTGGCAGGGCATATGTGCCTTAACTGAAATCATTACTCACACCACCTTTCCCTTTCTGCAGCCTTAGATGCTCTCCACGGTCTGCCTTGCCCATTGATGTCTCTGTCTTCTCCCACTCTTCAGGGAACACATTAGGATTTCTTGTTGGGCTTCTCCTCCCCCACATCCCATCCTGTATGTATCCTCCTGCTTGCATTGTTCCAAGGGTGACATGGGCTACAGGGCCTTGGATTGGTTGCTGCCATGGCAACTGAGGTGGGGCTTCCAAGGCTCCTTGGTTACAGCTTCTGACTGACAAAGAGCTAAGTCACTGCTGGCTCCATGGCATTCCCTCGAACAGATGTGTCTGTTGCTCCTTTCCTCCGTCCTCTTTCCACCCGTCCTACTCCAGTAACGCTCTCTCCCCCCCCCCCTAAATTCTGAGACCATGTGGAATGGATTTCAGTGGTGGCCTGACTAGATCAGAGAATTAATCTTGCATAAAAACAGGTTCCATCACCATAACTCTGCTTCCATTACCATCTTGCAAAACCAAAACCAATTTAGCCTGCTGAATGCAAACACACTGCTAGCTCTGTTTCAGAAAGTAAGATGGCTCTGGCTTCTCTCTGGAAGAGCTACTCCCCAAAATCTGATTCTGGTCCCCCCCACATGTCTGTGCTGCCACTCCTACCTACAGAACACCCAGATAAAAGAAATAATGGATATTAAGATGCGAGGAGTGTTGACTCCGTCAAGATCCCGAATGGTGTCTGACTTAAACAATTTGATAGAGCTTGGGGACTATAAAAACTGGAAAATTCAATTTTAAAAAAATCAGGATGTTTTGCATCCTTTTTGAAAAACTGGCTGGAATATTACTGTCGATCAGTTGCTGTTGTCATATGGCTCTAAGATTTACCTCAGGGGAGCTGAGACCAGAATCCAGCTCTGGTCTCATTGTAGTTAATGGGTGATCTGAGATATTTGCTCTAGGATGACTGAGAGATCAGAGTCCATTTGTAACACCAAGTACTCTGGGGAACCATGACCAAAGTTGCAGGGGAAGAAAAACGACCCATCATTTGGCATCTCGTGTGAAGTGTAAAAAAGAAAAAGGAAAAAAAAAAAAGACAGAAAGGGAAGAAAAATATCAAACTGAGTTTGGCACAGGTGGATGCCTTCCTGCACTCCTCACATCACACAGTAAGGCTCTCTGGGTAGTTCAGGCTCTGTCCTCCAGCATGGGATGTGGGCGATCAAGCCCTTCTTGAGGTCTTTGTTGAGTAGAAAGCAAACTATGGGGTTGACAGCAGCTTGGGCGAAGCTCATCCAAACAGCTGTGGAGAGGTAGCGGTGGGGGATGCTACAGGCTTTGACAAATACCCTCCAGTAGCAGGCCACAATGTAGGGTGACCAGAGAACCAAGAAGAGCAAAGTGATGACATAGAACATCCTGCCTAGCCTCTTCTCAGCCTTGAATTCTTCCATGCCAAGCAAGCGTCGGTTGGCAGCATGGGCATTCTGCCGGATGCCCAACAGAGTGGGAGGCATGGGGCCACGGCCAAAGCCAGCAATCCAGTTGGCCGCAGCTTGACCTGTGGCTCCAGGCCCATGGAACGTCCAGTTTTGGCTTATGGCTGGGACCATCTGTACAGGCTTCATCTTCCGATGGCGATACTCAAAGAGAAGGAGCTTGATGTAAACCACATGGGTGGCGAAGATCAGCACAGCTAGCATGAGCATGAAACCCAGAGTATCATTGGCTTTGAAGTAGCGGTGCTCAAAGATGCACTGGTCCTCCTCCCGGATGAACTTGTAGGTCCCGACATCAAAGACTGGTGGGAAGGCCATGGCCACCGACAAAGTCCACACCATGCAGATGACGGCTATGCATGTCCAGAAGGTCATGCGTTTGGCATAGAAGCGGTGGTGGGCCACAGCCATGTAGCGGGTGACGCTGATGCAAAAGAGGAGGAAGGCAGCATGGAAACAGAAAAGGACAGCCATGAAGGCCACAATCTTGCAGCTCAGCACACTGTAGGTCCAGGCCGAGCCATGGCGTATGGAGACAAGGACGAAAGGAAAGCAGACGGCTGAGCGGATGACATCAGCCAGGCACAGGTCCAACAGGAAGTAATAGGGGGCCTTGTGGAGGCCACGCTCTTTCAACACCAGGAGTGAGAGAGACAGGTTCCCTGCTAGGCTCACACAGATGATGAGGCCCAGGAGCAGCAGTTTGGCATAAGTGGATGCTGCATGGGGGGCGGAGCCGTGGGCCTCTTCGGTCTCATTGGCACTAGCCATCTTTAGTCGGCAGATGAGGAAGGAGCAAGCGAGTCAGCGGCAACGTGCTCGGTGACGACCCGTGACTCCAGTGCTAAAAGGCGGCATTCTCTGTGGGGACAAGATAGGAAGAAGGGGGAATGGGGAGGAAGCAAAATGTAAGTCCATTGTAATAACTCAATAACCTTAGCCACCCACGCCCATGACATTCCCATCTGAGATCCCCAGTCAAAAACAAAGAATTTGTAGTGACCTGGAATGGCCACAAATGTTTCAGATTCAGAAGAAAGGACCAAACATCTATAGCTGATCCAAGGCTTTTTGTTGTTGCTGTCATTATAGGAAGAGCTGAATAACGTCTGCCCAAATTAGAGTAGTGCAACTCCAGGTTGCCTTATGATACGATATTACACAAATCCAAGGCTTTTTGTTGTTGCTGTCATTACAGGAAGAGCCGAATAACGTCTGCCCACATTAGAGTGCAACTCCAGGTTGCCTTATAATACGATATTACACAGGATCTGAGAGGTCACTCTTGGTTTGTGGTGGGTGATAATCATGCCAGAAGTATTAAGCAGCACAAGAAGCCAGTCTTGTCTGCTATTTCTGCCTTGACAGATAACTTCTGGATTATTGGCTCCTGAGGAACCCACGGTTATCAGAAGACATTGTCACCCAAAGACGAGGGTACGTGATGCCTTTAGTAGACTGCTAAAATATCACAGACACAAACTAGCTTTCAACCTCTACATTTTATCCTAACTTAATGATATTGACTTGCTGTTTTTCTATGTGCCTCTGCTTCCAGCCAAAAAGAAAATACGTTTCAGTATAAGGCAATGGAGGAGTGTGAGCAACAGGCAGTCCTTTCTTTAAAAAGATTGGGAGAGAGATTCTAATCTTCATCACAGCAGTGTGGTGTAATGGATAGAGTGGTGGACTAGGGAAAAGGAGGTATGAATCCCCATTTGGCCACGGAAAATCACTGGGGGAATGGAACTGGTAAATATCTCACTTACCTTGAAAGCCCTAAGAGTCACCATAAGTTGGTTCTGACTTGACAGTGCAGAACATACACAGTGAAATCTGAAACCTGCTACCTCTAAACTGATTCTGTAGCCTCTGATTTTGGAACTTGCTTTAAAGAGGGTAACCGGGCATGTACATCTAGCTGTTATTTTTGGAAATTTTCTGTTTGCACCACCCACAGCTCTATAATGTCCAGCTTGTTGAAGATTTCTCCAGAAGTCAAAAGCCAGCTTCTGTCTGTAAGATTTTAGTGGTCTCATAAAGGGGGCACCCACTGTTGTCTTTGGCCAGCATACAAGGATCATGTGGATTTCTTTCCTTTTCTTTCGCACACCTTGACTAAGCTGCTTTGAATGGAACTCATCCCCCAACTAGCCAGTTTGTGACTTATAAAGAGGCCAAATCCACTGCGCCTTCCCCAAAACCTTAAGCAGTCTATCATCCTAGAGAAGAAAGATCTCAACTCATTCCATCATCTTTCTTACTGACCAAATATTGCAATATATCTTAGGCAGCAGGTTTATATTCAGTACAGATCTTAGGCAGGCCATTGTTTTCTCAGCCTCTGCCTTTGAAATAGGAAGGACTTTGGAAAATGTTCCAAAAACATTTTGGAATACCAACAGAATTGGTTTGACTAGAGCCCTCTCAAGGGGAATTGCCAGTCATTCGAGTCATCAAACATCTCATAGGCATCCTTCAGTCTCGCATGCAAACATGCAGCAGGGATATTTAACAAAACATGTGCTGTGTCAGCCAGTCAAATACTTTACTGCCTCAGCCAGACATCACTGCAGGCTCATGAGTCTGCTGGGGAGGAGAGAGGGGGGCAAGAACTGCTGGGAGAGATACATTTACTACCAGTCCTGGTTGTTCCATGCCCTCAGTGCATCTCAAGAAGAGATATAGATATCCAGTGTGGGTGTGTTTGCAGTGGCAAGACAGGGATCTCTACCAAAGTCCTGAAGTTTCTTTGGGAAATGCCGTGGCAGACAAACTGTTATGGAAGAGACAGAAGTTTCTAATATTGCTGCATCCTCCGGCTATTTGTGTTTGTTAATGCTTGGGAGACCATGTTTTGATATCAGTTCGGGACTGAGATAAGTCATTCCTGCAAAAATGCTTTGTACATTTTAAACTGCGTGGAGTGGTCAGAGAAAATGCACTAAATATGACTTTTTGTGACTCAAATTGTCTGGGGAATAAAATTTCCAAATTTAGCACTCTGATCATTAATGTATTTTACTACAAGTGCTTGATGCACATGTCACTTAGGGATTCAAATAATTTCAGCTCAAAGTAACTAAAAGCAGTTTCATTTATCAGAAATAACTGTGCTGTCTGTGTACCTAAGATTGTTGCTGTCCTGTTGCCCCGCTGAACAAATACTGATGCCAAATCATGAGTTTTTACTCAAAAAGAAGTTCATTTTTATTAAAGCTGTACATACATACTGTACTTGTAAGCAAGTCCCAATGAAATTAGTAAGTACAAATAAAGTGGCTACACTGGCATCATCTTATGCATATCACCTAAAGTCCTAAAATATGGACAAAAGACTAGAAAGAAAAAGAAAACTTGATAGAAATAGGGTCAGAATTCTAAATGCAACTTTTCATCAACTTTCTCAAAAGAACAAAATAACCAGTATAATACTGATTGCAAAACAGAGGCGATGAAAAAGAGAAGAAGAAAAATTGGGAATTCTTTCATGACATCCAAGAAATCAAAAGTGAATTTAAATCAAGATTGGGGATCCCGAAAAGACCAACATGGGCATATATTACCTGATCAGGACAAAATAAAGGGAAGATGCAAACTGTATTGTATGAAGAACTATATAAATGTAAGTATGATAGATTCTTTCAAAGATGACTCTCTTGAGGAGAAGCCAGCTAGTTTAAGGTAACCAGATGAAAAGGAGGCTAAATCTTTTTAAAAAGGAACTCGGGAAGTCAGAGCATTGGTCCACCTATCTCACTACTGTTGACATGGACTTGCAAGTGCCTCTCCAGGAGCTCAGTTCAAAGTGTTTTTCAGGTCTACCTGGAAATTATGTGGATTGTGTTGCATAGTTTTTAATTTCTAGTGAAGTTCTCCTTTCAGTGTCTCTCCAGGAGCTCAGTTCAAAGTGTTTTTCAGGTCTACCTGGAAATTATGTGGATTGTGTTGCATAGTTTTTAATTTCTAGTCAAGTTCTCCTTTTTGCTACACAGAAGTACAGAGATCCACAGAAGAGAATAACCACAAGTTCCCCAAAGTCCACTCCTCTCTTACTAACTGACACTTAAAGTTTCTATAACTCACTCTGAGACATGTGTAGGAGTAAGAAAAAAAACATGTCTTTACTTACAGTTACTTGAAATTACAGGCTTATTAATGCTGCTTTATTTACTGCACATAATACTTTGCAACTAATCAAACAGATCAATAGCAAACAAACATCAATGCTTCTAACCGAGGAAAGGGAGGGAGGAAAGCATTCAATGGAGAGCCAGGGCTATCTTTGAATTCAGAAGCTAAAGGGAAAGATTGGTTAGTGCTGGATAGATAATCACCGCAGTCCAGAAAATTCCTTCTCAGTCACTCATACCGCAGACAACATGCGAAATTGCAAATAAAACTCCAACATATTGAACCTGGGATCTTCTGTATGCAAAGCAGACACGCAGCCCCTGAGCTACAACCCTGCTCCAGTCAGTCAAATATTATTGAAAAAGTCTACGGACCATTTCATCAGCCATTCACCATATACAAAAACATTATCAAATTTTATAAATTTACAAAGGATCAGCTCTTACATGAAAAAAGGAAATTGGATCACACGTATCTCATATATAAACCAAATACTCAGAATTCTATCAATCAGGTCCTCAATCTAAGATAAAGTATTCTTAATCCCATAAAGCCTTGATTTAAAATCCTTCTAGAACTCTGCTATATAATTAAAAAAATCACTTCTTTCCATCCTCTTTCTTTTTCAGGGAGGCTGCCTTGACCACATAAAGAGCAACCCTCTGGGTTATGACCATGCGGGAGCCACACAACAAGTATATCTTCAGTGGGTGCAAGTAAAGTCAGAACAGTTAAAGGACGCTGACTCCAACTATATGAAAGAAACTGCTCTGATTTTACTTGTACCCACTAAAGATATAATGCAGAAACATGGAAAATATGGACTTCTTGGGATGGGTAAGTTGCATTCTTACTCAAAAAAATTTATTTGGAATTCCAAGGCATTCCAGGGGCTCTGCCTTTTTCACCTGTGCCTTAAAATGTGGACATACAGGTTGCAAGGCCTCGTTGCCCTTTAAACCTGGCCACTCCAGCATGGGAAATTCCAAAATTTGTGCTATGGAAACCTTGTGAGTATCGCATAAGAAAGAAATAACTGAATCATTAAATCATTAATGTGATGCTTGTGAGCCCAGAGAGCCCCTTGACAGATGAGACTTCCTGCACAAATCTGTGCATGATTCACTGCTCCAGCTAGCCACCATCGGGGGGCTAGTAATCCTGCTTTCTTCCTCCTCCAGAGATGATTAGACCATTAAATCATTTTCATACAGAGGTGCAACAAGTGACCTAGACCAGTGGTTCTTAACGTGGA